CGCGAACGTTCGTGCTTGCAGTGTGTCTCGAGACTTCCCAGGTGCTTCTTCTATGTCTTTGTGTCCCATGGCCTCCTGACGAGCATCAGATTGTTCAGTTCATCCTTGCGTGCAAGGGAACTGCCTCAGCCTCGATTGCTTGAAAAAGCGATTCGAAAGTTACACACGAAAAGACGCTACAAGCAATGATATCATGATCAAGGCCATCATCTCGGATGGTGCAAAGCACTCAGCGGTCTCAAGTCTCAAGAACTCTTCATGCTTTGTTGCCGTTTCGGCTTTGAACTGAGGCTGGGCGTGTCTTCTACGGCATTATCATGTACTACCTCTGTGTCATCTACTTAGTGTAAGCTTTCAGAAGCAGATACGATGGAGGTGTGAGGACCTGCAAAAAGCTCGCTTGCAAGACCAAATCCAACATATACAATGCGACGTTTGGTACAGTACTCTGGCTACCTGCCAGGCCGCAACCAGATTGCTCCCGAATATAGTTGGCCGCTGCCAAGATTTGGCAGACACATCTCGAACAGTTGTCTCAAGCCACGTGTGCGATCATTTATGTGCAACTCTGTAAACACAGTTTGGTTTCGAAGTGCCGAGCCACGTTGATGTGGCGAACAGGTGAAAAGAATTGCAGTAGTTCGTTCAGTCAAGGAACCCATCTGTTTGGTGATTCTTGTGTGCCATGTCATATGAAAGGTTTAGAGTCCTACAACCCTAAACCCAAAACCCCCAAATCATGATCCCTTTTCCAACCTACTGAGACCGAGGCCAGGGAGGGCACATGCTCTTCGGGCGGTGCTCCGGGAACGGGCGTGAGCTTCACGTACGTGGCATTGGATCTTTACCAAGAGGCATCCTGGGCCGGCGCCGGGAAGTCCAGCACATCGCAAGAGTGTTTGTTTCAAGCGTTCCTGCTTGCCGCGGCTTGCAGGTGCTGGTTTGGGCCGTGGGCGCCCTGAGGAACAAAGCGGAGTAGAAATGGGAGGCATGATGGCTAGATTGGTGGTGGTGCTGTGTAAGGTCTGCTTCCTAATCCTGCCCCGGAGCTTGCCGTACCTGAATCGCGGAACAGGAGCATCAGGCAACAGGGCGGGGTCACAGGGGTTCGCCTCCGGCTGCGTTGAACTCCAACCGGATGATCGATATTCACGTCGGAAGGTGGTGCCGGGGATGTACAGAGGAATGTGCAGACAGAGGACCAACCATGTGCTGGTTGCACACTGTATGGTTTAAACGTCCCCGAGTGCGGCCGCCACTGGAACTGATGGCCATGGAGGACGTGCATCGCGGCGGTCGCATGCAGGCACTGCTCCAGCCGCTCCCTCATGGCCCCACACGGCCCCGCGCGCTGGAGGTTTGCGTGTGCAGCATGTCTTCGGAATCCTGTGCGTTCATCTTGCCGAGGTACAACATGCTCGTGTTTGCAATAAGCTTCGCGATCTTCCTAACACTGTGCAGTCCTCGGGGACCGCTCAGAAGAATCTTGCCCTGCTTGCGTCCACAAAGGTCAGCTCGGGATGTGATGGCCTTCAGCTGGGACGGAAGCGGCGTGCATCTCGGATCAGGGAGAAGTTGCAAGAAGGAAGTGACATATAGCCGCACAAGCCACATAACGGGCAGATGCACTTGCTCTGACGCGTGGCTTTCGGAGGCCTTTGGTGTGGTGTGCGGCATCTTTTGTTTGTACTCCTTCGTGGCTCGCACATTTACATTTCCTGCTTCGTGTCTAACCAACTTGGCACCCATGATTCTCTTGTATGTTATTACACTGATTCTTATGCAAAGCATGTCTGGCCCAACCTCCTGCAAGTCCCTTGAACGATGTCAAAAGGACCGCATAAGCTCTTGATGGGAGTTCAAAGCAGGCAACGCAACACGGGACCCTTAAGGAAATCGAATACTTACATGCAGCCTACAGCAACAACAGCCTCGTGCTGGGAGTCCCTGAGTCTCCTGAGGCTTGCTAGCGGCAGAAGCTTGGAGGTGGCGAGTTGCAGAGAACTTCTTTTGGGCCCGTGCGATCTTTGGTGCGCCACCTATTTTTTAAAGGTGATCCAGAGAAGTTGCAGAAGCTCCCACCTGCTGAGGTCTTTGCATGTGTCCCTTCCTCTTCTTGCTCCATCCACAGATCAACAAGCTACTGACCCACAGCACGCCAACGGGCTACACCCGCCGCAGCCTTCGACTTGTCTGCTATAATCTCTCTCGAAGGTCCTTGGGCCACGCAGCGCAGCACTTTTTTGTTCTGATTGGCCCAAGGACTCGGAACGCTGAAGAGGCACAGACCCATTTTGCGACCCAAAAGGCCAGCTTTTGAGTCGCCACAGGTCGCTTCACTTGCAGAAGTGGCTTTGCTCTGTAGTCTTGTCACTGCCGGCATGGCTGAGTTGCCTTCCATGGAACATAGGCCGCTTCGGACAAAGGGGTGGCGCGGGTATGCGAGGCCGCCAAAGAGCGAGACGGAAATCCGGGAAGTTCAGGAGCAGGCCGGGCTTTCGGGTTCTGGAAAGACATCCAAGACGCTGCCGGAAGGAGGCGGTCGCCGATTCTCCAACCGCCTCTCCGAAGTCTGGACCCAGTTACCCGAGCGCTCACTTCGGGCTCTTGCTTAGAGTCGAGATCTTCAGGTCAGAGCAGGAGGCCTCGCTGGCTGTCAAGGCGAGGACTTTCAGTGCCTCGGGCAGAGCCCTTGAGTCCGCTTCGCAAGGCTCAGTGCCACAGTGTGCAGGCACCGGTCCATGACACGCCAGAGGCCGGATCGGATTAGCAGCGGCTGAACGAAGAAGTGTTTGTGAAGTTGCACCTGCCCACCCCCTCACCGATGAATTGAAGTACTGGCAAATCTTTATGCAGAAGCAGTCACAAAGCAGCTCTCTGTTGTGTTTGCCAGAGCGGCCCAGGTTGTGGCCTGCAACCCCGACAGAGCTGACCCGATCGGGGACAGATCCTGTCTTTTCACTCTTTCATAGCTGCTTAAGGCTTTCTATCACGATGGTGTAGAAGGTAGAGAAGAGAGGTTTAAGACTGCTTGGACAGGACTTGCAGACGGTTGTTCGCCGCCTGCCTGGCGGATCCCTTGCCTTAAAGGGTGGCAGTGGGATGCCAAGTGCCCCCGCAGTCTGACTCCATTTCACCAGGCCATTGCATGAAGTGGCCAAGGCTTCTGCATTTGGGCGACGGGGAAAGCAGCCACACCCTCGCTGCCAACGTTTTGTCTACGAAGCTCGAATCCCCCCAAAGCCGTGAGGCGAAAACGGCGGTGACCGTGGTCTCGCTCGAGATTCGAGTCGCCAGTGCCGCCGTGTCACTGGGCTTGCGGGCAGCTGATGCAGGCAAGGTAATACTAATACTAATACTAATACTAATACTAATACTAATACTAATACTAATACTAATACTAATACTAATACTAATACTAATACTAATACTAATACTAATGCTACTATTAATGCATCGGGGCTTCACGAACCAGCCGTTTCTCGCCCATAGCTTGTGCTCAGCACCACCTTGACTTGACCTGGCCCCGTTCATGCCGCCAACACCGTGGACCGATCTTGGCCCCGTGCTGTTTGCACGTGCATGCCTGGATGAAATTATAGAATCATAGAACGGGGTCATTTTAGCTGTGCAGCCCTGTCATCACAAAACTACATCTCTGATCACAGGGATTTGTTTCGAAATGGGAACGTTAAAATGTGGGCTACGGATGAGGCCAACCTCGCTCCCAGTCGTCCTATACGCACATGACTTGTGCGTGGACTTAGACGGGGTCCCGCACGGGGCTCTCGCAAGGATGTGCTCATTAGAGTTGAGCAAGAGTGGGATTAGCGAACTTCCTCATGGTGCCATGAAGTCATCCGTACAGGTCCTCAGATTCGCCATTGCGCACCATCGGTCAAGCCTTCTTTAACCCAAAGCTTTGGCTCCGCCCTTCGCTACCAGCACCGCCAAGGAGTTGGGATGTATCCCACATCTCTGTTGCAAGGCCTGCGCCTTGCTAGGGAGAAAGAACACGTGTTGGTGCTCGCAAACTGGGGGCCATCTTGTTTGTGGCACAGCGGAAGCGAAACACTCCTCTTTTCTTTCACCGGGCCGCCTTCTCAGGACTCGCGCCCGAGTCAACAATCTGCGTCACTCTCGCCCGGTCCGTCGGGATGGAAAATCTTGAAGTCTTCCTAGAGCGCAGCGAAACTGCCCACCTCAAAGTTCGTTGGGTCAGACATTGGTTGCTCAGGCAGCTGTTCGCAAACAGAGCATCGAATGGACTTCCCGTGACTCATGGGTAAGGCGGTATGAGGGGAACGGCTTCACGCCATCTTCCACAAAACTCTTCTGCAGGGACTGCGTCTCCTTTCTCAAGCAAGTTGCCGGGGCATCCGGGTTGGAACGGCGGGTTCAAGTCTCGGCTTGGAGCTGTGTATTTGTTTTCGTTCGAGCGTGTCAGCTCATCTTTTTGCTGTTGGGTGTCGGCGGGGTGTGTTGTGTGCGTGAGTTTTTTTTGTGTGTATTTTCATCCTCCACTTACTGATAAGCTCTGTTGCAGAGGGGGTGGGCGATTACACGGAGTGCCCCAGAGCAGTCGAGAGGGCTGTGGACAGGTAGGCCGCAGTGTTGATTGCAGCTTGACACTCATTATCACTCATTCATGCAATCTCATGCACTCGCGATGGAGCAGCTGAGCAATGTGGAGTCAGTGGAGCTCGAGCTAGCGATCCCTTTTCCCTTGCAGGGCGGACGACAGTGCTATCAGTGGCGCGACGGGTTGTCCCGGGAAGCGACACTGCTGTTGTGCGTTTCGCACGGGCACGTGCTGAAGGGGCCGAGCAAGCTGTTGTACGAGCCTCGGTACGGACTGTCCCTAATTTAGGTGCCAGTGGAAGGGCGCATCACAGCCGAGGTCGCGTTGGTGAGGTGCTGCGATCGAGCTCTACAGGGACCAGTGGCCATGCTGAACTAGCCATTCAAGCAAAGAGGGAGAGTAGGGGCTGACTTAGTTTGCGCCGTTTAGTTTCGAGGTCGCTGTCGCGACTCGAATCGCTGGTCACGTCCCTGGTGGCCGCGCGGCTCTGTCCGTGCTTGGCACCTCGGCTCTCCTACGGCTCTCCTGCTCCTGCTCTCCCTTCGATGCCCTGAGCGTGGGAACGTTTGCGATGTCTGGCGCTCTGAGGTAGCATGTGTCGGCTGGGCGGGGGCTTGGTGCGAACCTGCTACCGCATGGCAGCTGTCGTGGAGTCGCCCGGCGAGGCCCAGCGGTTCTAGCCGCTACAGGTAGCCTTCTGAGCTGCGCTTCAGAAGTGAGGTTGGGTCCAGCGGCGAGTGTGGCTGGGCAGCACTGGACACCCAAATGTCTCAAAAAGCGCCTCACCGTGATGCATCAAAGCCGTGGGCCAGGTGAGCAGCTCGCCGACTCTCCTCTCGGCATCCAGGTGGGGGAGCCGCAGAGCACTGGCACTCTCTTCCTCCTCGTCGTTATAACATTATGTCACGGTGGCATCAGGCTGGCTTGCCGACGATGCTTGGCAGCAGCTGAGTTGCTGCTTCTCCACAGTCTCGCGAAGCCTCCCGGTGGACGTGCCATGTGGATGTCAGGATCGAGCTCCTGCAAGCAGCAGGTCTGACGTGCACTCTGATTCCCGGTCGCTTCTTGCTAGCGCCAGGGGAGAGCGCAGTACACCCAAACCCCAAGCCGCCTTGAAAGAGCCAACTGCGCAGGCGGCAGTGAACTCGTCGAGCTCAGCGAGAAGGCCCCTTGGCATGGCACTCACGTGCACACGAACACATGACCAACAAATACATGTTTTAATTTCGAATTTTGCAATCCTTCCTTTAAGAACCCCTTACGAAGGTGCCCTTAGTTTTGGAAGACTCACCCGGAGCCTGTGAGGCGGAGCTGGTGAAGCTCGAGGCAGCTGCCAGGCCGGCTCCGAGGGCTTCGAAGTTCGCTCCGGGAGGAACTGTTCAACCCCAAAACGCTGAAAAGAGCCCGGAGCCGTAAACCACAACAGAACCCAAGAACCAGCCTCTCAAGAAAGCCAAGCTGACAGTCTGACGGAATGACACAAAGAAAAGGTCAAAGCCAGCAGCAGAACAAAACACTCAGAAGACTCTCGAAATCCTGAAGCGCAGTCAAAAGCCGAACTGAACGTGTCAGGACGTAATTACTGGAGTATGCCTTCTTGGCTACTACTGGTGCGGTTACGACTTGCCGATTGTACTATGACGATGATTGACTCTGACGGATTGGGGAAAGGTTCCCCGAACGCCCACCCGTGCCTTGAGCTTCGAACCTCAGTGACAAACCCTGGACGCTGACGTTTCATTTGTTGCAAGCTCTACTGCATAAACACGCATGTTGAATTGAACCCACAGATTTCCAGCCTGCGTAATCTCGTTTGCTGCGACTGTTACACGATGCGCATCACGCTTCTGAGAAAGCGACGACTACTTCGAGGACTACTATTTCGAACGCTAACACGTCTGCCATTGTATTACTACTACTACTACTACTACTACTACTACTACTACTACTACTGCTACTACTACTACTACTCCTACTCCTGCTGCTGCCGCGGCAGCTGCTACTTTTGCTGCCGCCGCCGCCACCACCACCACCACCACCACCACCAGCAGTACCACCAGCACCACGACTATTACTAGTACTGCGACTGCCGACTGCCAATACTGCAGCTGCCACTGCCCGCGCCACTGTGACAACGACCACGACAACTACTCTACAGTAAAACGGGTGCTGGCACGCATTTTGCACATGTACCGTGAATGACATGATCTCTGACGAATGCACTCATTCGAGGCTTGCGGAGCTCCTAACCCGTGCCGAGCGCCTTGCAGAGCGGGAGGTGGCCGAGGCCATGACTGGGATTCTGGCAACTGGTGAAGAATCGTTGACAAGGAGATGTCGCGTAGCGTACCTGTTTAGATGTTTAGGGTTTCTAGGAAATGGAGATTACACCTCCTCAACAAAACATCGTACTGGTACCGTCAGAAAAAGTCCTGGCTGTTGCAAGATGTGGCATGACGAGAAATGGCTGCGCCGGATTTCTCCGTGATCCTCCGGGTCTGATCTTTAAAGGCATGTTGAGTTTGGCAGGCTTTTGTGTGTGCTCTTCATTCACAAAGGCTGCATCTGCTGCCATTTGGGTTCAGCGTTGCTGTCAGCCAAATTGGCAGCAGTGAAGTTTGACCCGCCCGCCCTCCCTTGTTCACAACTCGGCCTCCTGTGATCTCCTGTGGAGATCCCCAGTTATGCAGGGCTTGCGCAGACTTGCGACGTCACAGAGTTGCGACGTCACTAGCTAGTGCGGATTGTATGGCGTGCGAGTGTGTCCCTGGTTTGCATACACCTCCGACGCACCGAGGGTTCGGAGAGGAGGATGCCCAGCGGCAGTAACCCAAAGCTACATCCTCGCGATTCCAGGTTGTTTGCACGATGCTCGGTAGCGCGTTGAGTGACCAAGGAGCTAGCTGTTCCTGCGGTGCAGGGGTGGAGTAGCTAGCTGTGTGCACCTTGGAATGTCGACTCATTAGATGCGGATCTTGATCTAAGCCCGCCACTGTGAGCACACGGGACGCTAAGCCATCGCAGGGAGCCGAGCTACACGCAGTCTCAAACGCCGCCCCAATGGCCTTGTTGCGCATGTGCTCTCCGCGATTCTGAGAAGAAAGCGATTGCAAATACACCACTGTGCCATTAGCAATCGCCCGAGAAGCAGGACGAAGCTCCAAAGACATTACCATTACCGTTAGGAAGTCTGATGCAGCTGCCATCATGACAAAGCCGCTGAGTTACAGTTACATGCTCACCCAAGCCGACAGGCCAGAGAAGCCTTGCAGCGCGTGCAGCCGGAGATCAGCAAGATTTCGCAAGCCCTCCGAGACAGGAGTTTCGCCTAATCGAACTACTCGTTGTGCTGAGGTCGTGGTAGCTTATATATAGCTGGCAGCCCAGTGGCCTTCGCATGTCTCTTGTGGTGCAGGAGCCAAGGTTGGGCATGGGAGGTCCAGCGTGCAAGAGGTACATGTGCCAGCGGCTGAGGTACGCAGCAGCCTTGCAAGTTTCAAGCTCTCTGCTCCTGTCATGGGTTTGTCAGTCCCACTTTCATGTCGCCAAGGAAAGCATGTGCCGATCCACGGTCGCGTGGACTTCGGCACCTCGACTACATGTCGATATCCAGATCTCTCGACTTATCTCAGATTTAGATTCAGATCGCCTCACCAAGGACCTGGCGGGTCGGCTTCCCGTCGCTGGTCAGGTGTGGCTGCAGTCTGCACTTGGCCCTGCCTGGCCCTGCGTCTTGGACTGGTGCAGGTGCTCTTGGGGGCTTTTCGGCGAGAGCTGCAGGAGTGGAGAGCTACTTACTTGGGAACTGTCACCGCCCTGGCAATACCTGGCAGGAGCTCCAGGAGCAAGGTCGTGCGGAAAGGACGGTGCTGCAAACCTTGGAGGTCGAAGAGTCGCGATGAGTCGTGGCTGAGCTGTGCACGAATCTCACTGAAGGCATACTCCCGAGTGCTTTTCTCCTCTGCTTGTGAGGCCTAAGGACACATCTCTCAATCTTGAGATCTCGAGATGTCCGTGTCCCGCAGGCAGTGCTGGAGCTTCGCCCCCAACATGTGGCACTGGCTGGAACTACGCCCACAAGTCCTGCGCCGGGACCTTGAGCTTGAAGCAGATCGCCACAGCGAAACAGAAAAGCTCAAAATTGCGGTGTACAAGGTTTGGAAACGAACGTGGAGGGGGCGCCAGATCACGTGCTGGCAGCCCACTTCCCACTCCAAAGGCTGGGTCCTTGAAGACTGCGTTACCTGCATTTGCCTATTGGTCTCGGAATCTGGCACTCACGGCTCTGAGGCTCCGCTTGATGGCGGCTGGGCACTCGGATGAAGCCAAGTCAAGTCTCTCCGCAGAAGTTGAAGCGCTAAATCGAAGGCGAAAAGAGGAGCTACAGCCTTCCGCGAAAGGCCCGCAGCGAGGAAGGTCCGGCCTTCTTCCAGCCCTTTAGAACGGGATTCAGACTCTGCGAGCACAGGCATCGATATCAATATCATCGAGGTCTCCCATGGCAACACGGCGCCAAAGCTGCCAGAGGCAGTTTGTAGAGCCAATATAGAGGTCATCCTGCCTCCAACCTGACACAGCCAGACTGCGAAACGTCGCTATCAGCATCCGGACGCAGCGAACCACATCCGTGTTTCAGGTGCGTCGCCCCGGGGTGTCCGTATTCGGTGCGATGCGGTGGCTTGACAGCCATTTGGTGATGCCGTACGTGTCAGCGGTGGCACTTGCCCTTTGCTGTGTTGCAGCGATCAGGCGGCTGGCATCACCGCGGCAACCTGGATGACATATCAGGAAACGAATGCAATGGTTTCATGCACTGCCGATTGTTGAAGACTGTGGCTTTTCTGGACAGTTGAACCTGTAGACTATTCAGTGCTAGGACTAGATCTTCTGCTCGCAAACGGGGTCCAACTTTCTCAATCTGCAAACCCATCACTGCAAGCACAGAATGTTCATCTGACAAGCACAATTCGAGGGCTGCGCGCAAAGGCGGACAAAGCAGGAGTTCCACTGGGGCTTTGTATGTGTCGAACCTTGTGGATGCTGAGCACTCGAAAAGTTAGCAGTAGCTTGTTTCGTGCATGTCCGAACGTGCTCTGGCGAGCCCAGTTCCAAGATGTTCCAAGGTCACAGCACCCGAGCCGCTTGTTTCGGTTGAAGTTAGCTGCGAACAAGCCGCATTTTCGGCCCGCTCGTTGTGAAAGTCCGCAGATGGGGGCGGGCCTTGGGCGTGTTTGGGTGGGTTTCCAGGGAAGCGGGGGCAACCGGGAGGGGAGTGCGGTAAGATTCTTTGCGAAATGACTATTGTTGAAGCTTTAGAGCGAACGGTCTCTGGTGTCTCAACGAGTCGCAGGACGTTGCAGTGTAACCTACACCCGAAACTGGCCCTAAAAAGATGGAGCCGAGCTTTGATAATTCAATGTATCCGTCGGTTACTCGGCTCCGACTGCAACGCTGCAGAACAAACACGAACAACACAAAAGCGGCGTGCTTGCCTGGGATTCTTTTCGAGCCTCCCCTGAACGGCCAACTCGGCAATTGCGCCAAGCCGCGACGCTCGTGAAGACAGGTCCTGGAGACGGAGTACCACTTTTGTGGCAGGACCCTGAAGCCAAGCCCTGGCGAGTGCGGGGACCGCGGCCTGCACATGAGAAAAATCCAACACCGGGAGTTCTGCGGCGAAAGCCTATCATCATCGAACCGTGTTCCTTGAAAAGCTATGCGAGCCGAGGCAATGGGGTCAGGAAGCCGCCTCGAGAGCGCCTTCGGAAGGACTCCGACTTTGGTTCTGTTGACTACTCGGGCTTCGGGATATTCGGGGATGTCTTGGGCACTACATGTCTTGTCCTTGGGTCTGAACCCTTCCTCGCACCAGCAGTGGGCTCGTGCAGGAGCCAAATCCTCGACAGATGGACCTCTGAGGGCGGAACTCTATTGCGAGGCTGTCATGTTGTGCGCAGAATCGAGCTGCTGTTGGACATTTTGTGGTTGGGACGCCCTTTCTGTTGTGATCGATCTTGGTGCACTGCATTCGAGTGGTGTGCTCGGGCAAGGTGCCGCCGATCCCCATGCTCGAACTCGATCGAGAACGTGAAAGGCCGGTGGGGCAGCTTCCAACTGCTTCCGCTTGAAAGGAATACACATGTACATACATATATATATATATACATACATACATACACACACACACACACACGCACATATTATGAGGGTATTTTTTGCCAGGGCAGCTTGCCCTCGTGGAATATGACTGCCAGTAGCCAGATGGCGGGCATCTAAAGCCACCTGCAGACTTCGCGGTCAGGCGCAGACCGGGCTACGTCCGATCCGAGCCGTGCTCACCACCGACAGTCCATTCAGGTCCGGGAGCTGTATGGGAGTTTCCGAAAATAAGGGGTACCTTATTCCGGGGTCCATATAATGAGGATCCTACTATTTAGGGTACTATATTAGGGTCCCCTATTCTCGGAACCTACCGTATACATCTAGTGAGCACGGCCAAGCACATGCCAGGCAGTGCGAATCTTAAGTCCATAGTGCAAGACTGGACAGACTGGGGTCATACAGGAATCCAAGTTTCCACATCTGCAGGACCTGCAGAAGCTCAGTGCCCACAAGGCAACAGGCGCCCTGAACGTTTTGCAGTCACCACACGCGGCATGCATTTGTCACGCAAGCTAGCCTTTGGAGCTTGTGAGAGTTTCGTTTACAAGCCTTTTTCCTCTCTAGTGACTCTAGTGTTCAGGTGTGTCAACAAGCGACTTCCGGCCCTAACTGGTACTTAACGGGCTCCGGCGTGGCGGGGAGGGGCCACCCCCCCTCTCGCGGCAGCCACAGTGGGAGTAGCAGGAGCAGGAGCAGGAGCAGCAGGAGGAGGGGGAGGAGGAGGAGTAGTAGTAGAAGTAGGAGTAGTGGTAGTAGCCCGCAGTCTTGATGTTGTTCTGCCGGTTTTAGCCCTGAGCTGCTGACTCCGAGCGACCCCCGAAGCCTAGAGCCGAGGCATCCTAAACCCTGAAACCCGAAGAAGCCCTCATAGAGTTCGAGGTTTGGAGCTTTGGGTTTAGGGTTTTAGGGCTTCGGGTGCAGGATTTTAGGGTTTTTTGGGTTTTTTGGGCTGGGGCTGGGGGCCTGGGGTGACCCCAAGGCACCACCATCCGAAGTTAGAGGTTTTTAGGCCCTGCAGTGCAGACCCCTGCACCCAGGCCCATACCGAGAGCTTTCAAGACTCCTTCATTTAGGGTTTAGGGGTTTACGGGAATAGTCCCTCCCCACTGCGTACTTAATTAGGGACCCTAGGTCAGGGGCACTTTACTTGACGGCTCTTGGCTATTTCTTACAGTTGTTTGGGTTTTGTGCTTTCTTTCTAGGGATCGACAAGAAGACATACTTGTTGCTGCTGGTCTTCAGGGGGGTAGTAGAGTGCGCTAACTAAGGGGGTTGGGAGTTGCTGTGCACCCACTACTCCACCTTATAGTCTTAAGGAGTGCTTGATTCAAAAACGTATTCCTTACAGTTATAACCTTAAGCTAATCCTAAACCCTAAAATCACCCTGCAACCCTGAACCCAGCCGCCGCTGCTGGAACCTGCCACTCCGGAGCCGCTGAGTTCCGATCTCTCTGACGCTGGGCTTGGATCAGCAACAACAACAGCCAGATTCACAGTCATAGTTTAGATTGCGTTGAACGTAGTAGCAATGGTACTGCCGTCGTACATCGTCTTCGTCGTCGTCGTTATCGTCGTAGTAGCTGTCGTAGTTATCGGCACTTGCAAGATTTTTCTGCGAGCTGTACATCACGCAGCAGCGAAGTTGTTTCTTCCTGGCTGCATGTTGCAAGAACTGGAACCAAGTAGACTGAGGAAGGTACATCCAAGACAAAGTCTTGGCTCGACAGCACGCAGCAAATTGCTTTTGTTGAGGAGCATGGGCTGCGCTGCCTCCCTACTCGCATCTTCTGCGACGCTCCCCCCCATACTTTCACGCATCCGCCAGTACAGCAGGTCCAAAGTCAAAAGCGTTTTATGAAATACAGGCTGCCAGGCACTTGATTCTCGCCTTTGTCACGGTGGTGTTCCTAAGCATCCTCATCCTAGTCGTCATCCTCGGACTCATACTTGTAGGTGAGGTACAGGTAGAGAGAGGTACGCTGAGCTCGTATGTTGCTATACCCTCTCCTCTCACACCGTGTCCACAGAGAGAGGGGGAGAAAGCCAGAGAGAGGAGACTGGGTATTGTGGGAACCCGGGCAAGATATCTCATATGCAGTCGCGTAGTATTCTTTGTCGGCTTACTCATGACTGTCAATAAACATGCAGCCCGGGTTTACAATAACCTCGTTTGACTTGGCTAACCAGCTTACAAAGCACTCCAGTGCCTGCGTGTAGGGCTTTGTTCGTTCGTCCATCCCACGGGTCCTCTCACACGAATCTCGAAGTACCCCAAGCCCAAAGCATCCGCCGCGTAAGAAGTGTATGCTGTTTCAACCCCAGAGCCTAAGGACTTCAGCTGGCCTTAGACCTTGCAAATGGGTTCAGGGTTTAGGATTTAGGGACGAGTGGCTAACTACCAGGCGTTCTTGCTTGCAAGCCTGCAGCAACAGGATTTAGGGTACTTCTAAGACGGCCTTAGACCCTAAAACATTAGCCCAACGCCGCAGGACAGACCCTGAGACCGCATCACAAACTCATGGGTAGCTCTGATTCCAAACCTCAAAAAGAACTGGACACCTGGCTTGTCTGAGAGTTGCCGCCGAAACCCCAAGCCTTACCCGAAGCCCTACAAGTAGGTAAAATGGTGAAAGGCAAGTCTTCTAACACACTGTTGGGATCCCTCCCTAAATCCCGAGATTTCGCTTTCAGGACTGGTTCGGGAAGCAGGGCAGTGGCGAGCTCAATCGGTTTGGCTTTAGGGTACTTTTTGTCACTTAAGCCGAAGTGCTCTGTTGGTATCTGCGGAAGGGGAATCTCCACGATTCTGGGACCAGTTTGAGACTCGGACGTGGGGAGTCTTTGTCGGTTGGCAGATCTGATCCTGCATGCCTTTTCGTGTCTGAATTACGGGTCCGACTAGGTTGGCGTCCGTTCGTGCTGCGACTGTCGAAGGGATTCCCCGATGTAGTTTAGTCCCATGCATACAAGTACGGATAATGTCTGCTGCACATGGCCATCTAGATTTTTCATTTGAGCCGCATGGATGCGTTCAGCCATGAGGACCAGATTGCTGGACGCAAGACGTGCGCAGGCTTATCAAGAACAGAAGGCCCTACCTTCCGACATCAGTTTGATGGTCGCTGTTGCAACGGTAATATGCAGGCAGCTGCGGTACTGCGAGGTTTATTCTACCACAGCCACAACCGCCACCATTGACTGCGACCGCGACCACTGGTACTGTCCCAAACCACCATGTCTTTTCCGACAATGCCCGTGCATTTTGTTTCTCGACAAGCACGTACTTAACTTAAGCCATCTTCACAACGACGACGGCTCTGAAGACTATAGGAGAAGTGAATCCCTAGGCAAAGAGGAGGAAGTCCCGAGCACTGCTTTCTTGCATCAGTCGGTGGCTTGGCACCCGAAGTTCCTGTCAGGAGAGGTGTCCTTCAGGGTTTAGGGTAATATACAGGGGCCTACATAATTACCTATACTATTTTGGGGTTTCCTCATTATAAGTATAGTATAATGGGCCGCAAAAGCCTTTCTAATTATTAAGGCCCCTATATTAAAGGGAGTTTGTCGGTACATGTCAGTACTGAAGAGCTCCTTTTGGCGGTCCTCAAATGGAGGGTTCGAGTGCTGAAGGCTGAAGATCTCTGCCGAGGTGGCGTGTGGATTTCGAATGTTTCAGACCGAGGCTTCAGCAAAGTCTGTGGCTTGGGGGTGAGTCGCTCCAAGAGCTTTATGACTTTAGGGTTTAGGGTTTCTGACTTAATGAACTTTACATGCATGAAGATTCTCTACAGAGCCAAGGAAATACTCTACATCGGCTTCATGACTCTATCTATCAGGATCATCAGTTCGTCAGCTCTTTCTACAGCGTATCCGACCGATTATCTCGTAAAATCATGAGGATTGTGCGTACTT